GAGAGAATAGTGGCAAAGACGTGGGCAGGAGGCACTGAGGTGTGCAAGCAGGTAACGTGGCCTGATATTAGAAAAGGTGCATAGCAGCCTCTGCAGCAAGGAGGCCATCTGTCTCCATGCAATGTCTGGCCACATGTATGCTCCTCTAGGGTTTGTCAGGATGCGCCTGGAGGTTTCTGGGTCTCCATGTTGCCTTAATTTACCTGGAGTAGCCTTCTACAGGGGACAGTGGTGGTTCAGTGGCAGAATTCTCTCCTTCCATGCAGGAGACCTGGGTTCGATTCCTGGCCAATGTACGTCATGCACAGTCACCATCTATCTGTCAGTGGAAGCTTGTGTGTTGCTATGATGCTAAACAGGTTTCAGAAGAGCTTCAAGACTAAGACTAGGAAGAAAGGCCTGGTGATATACTTCCAAAAATCAGCCAAAGAAAACCCTATATGGATCACAATAGTCTGATCTGCGACCAATCATGGGGATGCTTCAGGACTAGGCAGCGTTTTGTTTCATTGTGCGTGGGGTCGCCATGAGTTGGGGGCCGACTCAACAGCAGCTAACAACAACAGGATCAATTGCCACCCCCTTTCCCACCACGCCATGGTCCAATTTCTGGGGCTTGACATAATGTCTAACTGTGTACGCTGGTTCATCTGCAAACCGGTAGGTGGGTTCTGACCTTGTGCGTACGGGAGCTTCATTCAGGGTTCAGAACACCAAAGGGGTGCAGACAAGCATTATTTTTATCAGTGAAACATGGGAGGTAACCCCAGAGTCAAATCAGCCAAAGACAGGCTGGGAAAATTACACCTCACACTTACAGTGGAATATTATATAGCCATTAAATCATGTTTTCAAAGAAAGCTAAAAATATAGGTAAAGACTTTTAACATAATGTTAAGAAAAAAAAGCAAGTTATAGAACTGTGCAGACAGTATGATCCTTATTTGCAAAAGAAAAAACCCTACAGAATATATACCTGAGCATACATAGAAAAAAAAAGGGGAAATAGACTAAAATGTTTAGTCACCATGTGTTCTCTGGGCAATGGTGGGATTAAAGAGGATTTTTATGTTCTTTATATTTTTTATGATTTTCTAAATTTCCTACGATAAACATGTATTACTTTCATCACCTCGAAATCAATATAATGAAGTTTTAAAAAATATTTTGTGCTAACAAAATGAAAAGTAATCAGGTGAATAAATCAATGATAGTTAACTCACTGAAAGCTTTTTTTAAAAAATCTAATTGCCTTTGAACAATTTATGATGAGATTTTAAAAAAATTAACTTGTCTTTGAACTCACTGATAAGAAGCTTTATTAAAATATTACATGAATGATCTTCATTGCTTTTTAACCCTCATCAAATTATCCCTGGCACTTGAGTAAGTCCTATCTGCCAACTTTTTGAGGGAATGTTTCTGTCTTTGAGCCTTAATGTTTCATTCTCAGGCAATCTATACACTTGGCAAAAATAATAACAATAGACCTTATGTTTCTAAAACACTTAATAATTTGCAAAGCATACTAAGTGCTGGGTACCATTCTAGGCTCTGGGGATATCACACTGGACAAAATGATCAAAAATTCTTTTCCGTGGGGAGCTTATATTATATTGGAGGGCAGACAATAAGCAAATAAACAAGATGTACAGATGCCAGGAATGCTAAGTACTATGGAGAAAAATAAGGCCGAGATGAGGGGCAGGGAATAAATGGGAACTGTTCTTTTTAAATCAGTTTGATTATTGTTTGAAGAGAAAAAAAAATGAAGGTGTCTCTATAGTCCGTGGACAATTAATATCTTCCCCTTCAGTTCTCAGACATAAAAATGATTGAAGATATTCATGGAGGAATCAGTCCAAGAACTAATTACATGTCATCTAAGTGACAATGTCAAATGTGCTAATTATCAACTTTACAAACTCATATAACATTGTGATGAGTCCTGGCGGCGTTTTAAATGTTTTCCATCTAGCAAGGTCAGACCCTAACCTAACCTTTCCCGGTCTCAGTGCTCTCACCTATCAAATGGGGATGGTAATAGCACCTAAGTCAGAGGGCGATTGTCAGAATTCAAAGAGAAAGTGCTCTTGGCTGGAAAACAGCACGTGTTCGATGCGTGTTCGTAGTGGTGACAGAGTGCTAAGCAACTGGAAGAGGTGGTTTGAATTGTTCTTTGCTTCCTGTATGTGATTGCTTCAGTCCTCACAGCTGTCTCAGGAGGTGTGTAACACTTATTCCCATTTTCAAAAGGAAATTGAGCTCTGAGAGGTTAAGTCCAGAGTCACGTGCTATAAACCCAGGAAGTCCATCTCTCAACAACAACTCTATTTTGTGCTCACTTGCCAAGGGGTTCCAGAAACCCTCCTAGCTTCAGTTTCTCCCTTTAGGGGGCTGAGAGCTGATTTACACCTTCCCATCCCTCACCCTGTGTGCTGAGCTCTTCCAGGGCGAGGGCTTCAGGTAACGAGCTTCCCAAAGACAGACGATAACGCTTGTATCTCCATCACATTCCCTATCGGCTATTCTCTGAATACTGGGATCACTAGACAGAAACTTAACTGGCTTCCGACGAACTTCTTTGGAAAGAAGGGGAGGGTTATGGAAGATGTAGGGATGTGCCACACCAGTGGGTGAATGGGGGAGGGGTGGGTAGGCTATAGAGAAAGTGGAGAGAGGAGGTTTCTGTGTAGAATGTATCCTGAGGAGGCAGCCCATTCTGTCGGTCTCCCTAGGTCCCCACCAGACATCATGTGGACACTCCCCTCCCCAACTGCCCCCTGACCTGGGCAGCTGGGCCACAGGTGGCCAGGGACAAACATGGCTGTTCATAAGCTGGACCTCTGCTTTCTTCCCACCAGTGCTTCTGGCCACCTACACCCTTCAGGGCACCCCAGAGATCCATGCATCCTCCCCCGGGGCTCTAGGCCTCCCTCTGCTCTGCTTTGGGTCGGAGCACCCACTCCCCAACCCTGCTGCACAGCCCGGAGCCCACCCCTTCCTGGGCACCTTCCAGCTATGAAGTCCTAACCTCTCAATGAGCCGCTTGGCTCCATTTCCTCCCGGAGGCTCATCATTTCCGGTGCCTCTGGGCCCATTCACCTGGATGAACACACTACTCAGCAACGAATCAGGGTTGGGACTCCTCAGACCTCTCGCTGTCTCCCTGCCCTGATGGCTGTTCTCCCTTCGCTGCATGCCTGAACCATCACCACTGGAATGTCTGACCCACCTGACAGCCCCAAAGCCCATCGCTCCTCAGAGAAAGCAACTCTCCCCACGCCCCAAAGCTGGAGTGAGGGGACGTGGGCAGAGCACGGGCGATATGTGGGGCTTCTCCTCATGTCCACCTGGCGCAACAGACATAAGCCAAGAGCAAGGGGGAAAGAGTAACCCTTAAGTCAGGTACCACCTTTTCCAGCGTGGGCGGGCGGAGATGATGGGGTAGGGAGGGGAGAACTGGGCAGGGCAGGGAACAGAGCCTATGGGGAAGAGAGGGTGCCCCAGAAAGGAGAGAGATTTGCTTTGCAATTAAATGTCAACAAGGCTTTGGGCGATTGAAAGCCCTCCAGGGAGGGCAGTGCAGGGGACTGTCATGCCCCCCACCACCGCAAGGAAACTGCTCTGCTCAGCATCTACCGTGCACTAGACTCTTCATAAAACCACACCTGTAGCCAAACTGACTGAGGGCTGGCTGTGTGCCCAGCACTGTGCCTGGCCCCCCCCACAAGCCATGTCTCATTCAATCTTCCCAACTCACCTTCCCCATGTTTCAGATGGGGAAACTGAGGCTCAGAAAGGTTAGTGCCTTGCCTAGAGTCACACAGCTAAGATGTCACCCAGGCCTGCAGTGGGGCTCCAAAGCCCTTAAACATCCTGCTCACAACAGAATCCTTCCTACTTTTCAGATGAGAAAATTGAGGCACAGGGTGGTAAGTCACACGTTCAACTATAGCAGTCAGATGTTTAAGGAGAGTCTAGAAAAGGAGGGGCATCCTCCTGGCAGAAGCCCGAAGGGCTGTGTGGATCAAGACCACGGACCAAGCCCCTTGAGCCCCTCTCTCTCACGCCTTGTACTGTGTCCTTGTCTCCCCAGCCTTGGCCTGGCCACCCGCGCAGGCACCGGCGCGGCGGGATCAGGAGGGCAGCCCCAGGTCTCCCCTTTGCGCCAGCCTCCGGACCGAGGAGACCAAGGTGGTGAGAGGACAGGCCGTGCGAGTCAGCCAGCTTCCGAGGGCGCTTGGGAAGAGGCGGCTACGCCGCTTGGCACTACGCAGTCCGCTGGAGCCGCCACCCTCGGACTCAGCCTGGAGTACTTTCTACCCGGCAAGGGAAAGTCTGCTCCAAAAGGGAAGAAGGTGCGGCGAAGACGCCCCGTCTCCCACCGCTGGTGCTGAGATAGGCCGGAGCGGCAGGCACAGAGGCAGGAGCATAGCCCGGGAGAACTGCCCGTCGGAGGGTAAAACTTCCCGACTCAATGGGAAGCGGGGTAGTTTCTGGCGCCAAACTCCGCAAAGACCCGTTCCCTTTCCTTTCCCACCCCAGCCGAGAGTGCGCCCTAGTTTCCCCTTCTTGGGTGAGTTGCTCAGGGGTTCCCAACACCGAAGGCTCGGGGCCAGGTAGACTGTCTTGCGCCCCTACCCGGGGTGCATGCTTAGCTGAGACTCGCGCCCCAAGTCGGGCTGGAACCCGCGAGCCCCCTTTCCCGCAGCCCGAGGGCGAGCTCAGAGGCAGCCCCGACCCGCGCGCGTCCGGGTGGCGCGCCTCGGGGCGCGGGTGCCGGCGGCGAGGTCCGCGCGAGTCCGGAGATCCCGCTGTCTTCCGAGCGCGCTGCCGCTCCGCTCGAGGTCGCGCGGCCGTCCACCGGGCGCGCCGAGGCTCCGCGTGAAGCGCCCGGTTGTGTGCGTGCGCGGGGTCGCCGCAGAGCGCGGGGGAAGGGGCGCGACCCTCCCCCCACCCCCAGCCCTCCCTGCGCCGCCCTTGCCAGCTCCCCTTACTCGGCTTGGCTGCCTCGCTCCGCTCCGTGCGCCGCAGTGCCGGCTCCAGTTTCGACTCCAGCTCCGGTTCCTGCTCCGGCTCCCGCTCCGGTTCCGGATCAGATGCCGCTGCGCTCGGGCTCGGGCGTCGCGGGGGGCGCACCACTCAGCCTCGGCTGGGTCGGCGCGCAAGGGCGGGGCGGACGGGCGAGGCGGGGCCGGGCCGAACCCACGATCCAGCCGCGGCGGTGGCGGCGGCGGCTTCTCAGGGCCCGGCCCGGCACTGCCGCCGCCTGGCCTGGCCGCCGCCGCCTTCCCGGCTCCGTCGCCCACGCCACCGCCCGCTCGGGCCCCCCTTGGCGGCAGAGCCACTCCCAGGCCTCAGCGCCGCTGCGCCGCCGCCCGGGTCACTGCTGAAATGGGGACGCGGGCGAGGGGGGAGGGCCGAGCCGCGCCCCTCTGCGCACAGCCAGCTTGACACCCGCACAGCCAGCTTGACACCCACACAGCGGCAGGGGGGCAGGCACGGCGTGAAGGCCGAGAGATGCACAAGAGGCCAGCACGCCGGCCAGGCGTGAGCGGAGGACGACAGACAGATGGACATACAGAGGAGAGACAGGAACAGAGGACAGACACCGGCAGAAAATGGTAGACAAATGATTCATTCTGGGAAGGACAGCCAGACAGGTTGGGCAGAGGCAAGGCTGGGCACTTGGGCTGTCACAGGCAAAGAGCAAGGGGCAGAATGGAGAGCGGGATGACAGGCCGGACACAGGATGGCTGGGTTACTGGCTGTACGGAGGAACCTGGCGGGGCCTCCTGTCCCCAGTTTGCAGGAAGGTGAGTTCTGGGACATGCTGGGGGTGTCAGCCAGGCCTGGCTGGAACCTTCACCTGAGCGCCCAGCAGGCTTATTCTCCTCCCGCCCCCCGCCCCCTGCCCTCCATCCCCGCTGCCCTGCCAGATGCAAGCCCTGCCAGATGCAGCAAGCCTGCCACTACGGAGCTGGGGCAGGGGAGGGCTCCTGGCTTCTAAGACCTGCTCTGCCCCAGCCCTACTCCTGGGCCTTGGACAAGTCTCAGCCCCTCCCCCAGGCCTACAGTTATTTGTGGAATCATTTATTTAGTCCCCTCTACTTGACTAGGGGAAACCCTGGTGGCTTAGTGGTTAAGAGCTAAGGCTGCTTACCAAAAGGTCGGCAGTTGAAATCCATCAGGTGCTCCTCGGAAACTCTATGGGGCAGTTCTACTCTGTCCTATATAGAATCGGAATCAACTGGACGGCAGTGGGTTTGGTTTGGTTTTGGGTGCTTGACTGGGAACTCTATGGGGCAGTTCTACTCTGTCATATAGGGTCACTAGGAATCAGAATCTACTTGGAGGGCACACAACAACAACTTGACTAGGAGGTCTCTAAAAAAAAAAAAAAAAACCCAAACCCGTTGCCATCCAGTGGATTCGACTCATAGCAACCCTATAGGCCAGAGTAGAATTGCCCCCCACAGGGTTTCCAAGGAGAGGCTAGTGGATCGGAGCTGCTGACGTTCCGGTGAGCAGCCACGCTCTTAACCACTGGAGCACCTGGGCTCTGAGAGCTCCCTAAGTAGTGCAGGTAGCTTGCATTTGACTACTAACCTAAAGGTTGGTGGTTTGAATCCACCTAGTGATGCCATGGAAGAAAGGCCTGGTGATCTGCTTCTATAAAGATTACAGCCAAGAAAACTCTGGAGCAATACTACCCTATAACACATGGTGTTTCCATGAGTCGGAATCCACTCCATGACAATGGGTTTCGGTTGTTGTTGTTTTTTAACTTGACTGGGAGCCACATATCCCTGTGGCAGAGTGGTTAAGAGCTACGGCTACTAACCAAAAGGTTGGCAGTTCAAATCTACAAGCTGCTCCTTGGAAACCGTATGGGGGCAATTCTACTCTGGCCGATAGGGTCACTATGAGTCAGAATTGACTAGATGGCAACGTGTTTGTTGTTTTTTTGGTTTGGGAGCCCCATGAGGGCAGCCTCTGGGCTGTTGAGCTCACCACTGGTGCCCAGAGCCCAGCAGGGGTGCACTCAGTACATTTGATTAATGAATTGATGAAACTCGTTACCAACCCTCTCAATAACCCACATTTTGGTGATGAGGAAATTGGGGCTTAAAGAGGCGAAGTGACTTGTCAAAGTCAAGTTGGTAGCAGATTCAAAGCTAGGTCTGTTTCAAAACTCGAAGGCTTGTCACCAACTGGAAAGTGGTGCTCAAAAATAAAACATGGTAGTGGTAGCACTGGAGGTGACTCACTTTGAGGGAGTTGTTGTGGAAGGCTCCAGCCCTGAAGAGCTCATTCTCCTTAGCGCCCATTTGAACATCACTGGTCTGGCAAATCTGGCTTGTTCCTCAGACTGAAGCCCAGAAGAGGTTTCCAGCTGGGCTTGGTGGTGTGCGGTTTAGCTTATGGGAGTGTGATTACCAGTATGACTCTCTACCTGTCTCTGTCTATCCATCCATCCATTCACAAATACATATTAGTGTGGGACTCTTGGAAGACACCAAGAGGAGATAGAAGAAAATAAGAACTAGTCATTGTTAATACTGAGATTTCTTTTTTTTTTCTTTTTAATTGTGTAATTCTACAAATGACCATAAATGGAGTGAGCTTGCTGATTATGATATCTTCTTTCCTCTCCTATGTCGCACTTTTAATGGCTCCTTAGCACTGCATCAGACAGGCTGTACTAGATTTTAATTTAACCAATCCCCTAGTGCTGGGCGTTTAGTTTGTTTCCAGTTTTTCACACTTCTAGACAACCCTGCAATGAACATCCTTGTAAGTCTTTGTGCATATCTGTGATGATTCGTTATGTCAGTGATATGTCCATATAATTTTGAGGTTTTCTTCTGCATGGGGTCAGATTTATAGGAGGGACATCTCCTGGGCACCAGGGAAGCACAGTGTCTAGAATCTGCCTGGCCAAGACCAGGCAGGTTGGCAGGAGGGAAATCATACAGGGTGGACTCGGAACAATGCGATTCCCCAAGAATCCCTTAGTGCCCAGGCTGTGAGAACTTGCCCTAGATTGTACTCTGTGTTACGCTACAGGGAATCCCAAGGAATGTTCCTTTTGTTCTTCAGGGTCCATAATACCATCCATCCCAAGCAGGACCCATGAGGTGAAGATAATGGAGGAGCCTCTTTGGCCTTTTCAGCTTGTACTTGACCATGAGTCTTCTGTCCTTTAACCTCTTTGCTCCACCGCCTCCCCTACATGTGCTCCCACCCTTTTAGTGATGGTCAACTCAACAGTTTCATTGTTGTGGGATCTTCTCTTGCTAAGGGTGAAGAAGGAGATGGGGAAAGACCTTCAGGGTGGTCTGGGTGGGATATCTGTCTAAAAAACTCATCAGACCTTTCGGAAAGGTTGCCTTCTTGCTAGTATATCTCTTATTTGAAATTATGTCAAAAGTGGGTCTAGCATCTTTCCAGCCTTGAATTATATTACAAAGGACCCAGCTCCCTATATTGCCTTGGCCCTGGAGGTTGAGAGCACAACCAATCTCTAAAAAAGGAGGGAGATGTGGGAGGGAAACTTATTCCATCAGCTTTGCAGACAAAGATTTCTCCTCTTTCCCTCCGATTTTGCTAAAAGTTCTCTTGAAGATGCCTTGATGGTGCTAAGGGGAGATGAAGAGAGGTTTTGGTTTTTGCTTTGGTTAGGGGCTGGAGTGGGGCAGAGACAGGGAGCAGGGCCATCCTAAGGGCCACAAAGTCAGAGATGGCAGCTGAAGTGGGGGGAGGGGAAACATCTGTGATACCGGAAGTAGCTCCTTCTGGAGCTCCTGTGTGCTGAAAGCTCACTAGGGAGTGCCTTGGTTCCATGCCCCACTTTTTTGCCTCTACAATTTGTATCTACAAAACCTGTTAACTCCCCATCAGTCACACCATGATGATTCCTCTGGCCCCGTGAAATTTCCATCCTGATAGCTGCAAGTGACACCTGACAGTGTTCAGGTGGAGCTGCTGCAGCGAGTCAGACATGGCTCAGCCCTCAAAAAGCTTGCGGCAGTGTGAAAGATAGACATCTCACAGATCTGGACCAAGGAACACCAGAAAGAAGGGGAGACAGCTCAGGCTGCAGAGCTGGATAGGCTTGGTTTAAGTCTTTGTCCCTCACTGGGTGTGTGACCTTGGGCAAGTCACTTCACTTTCCCTGAGCTTCAGTTTCTCCACATGTGGAATGGAAAAAATAATATTTACCTAATGGAAACCAACTTGAACCATCTTAAGCAAAAAAGAAGAATTTACTACTACCCAAGTGTCTTAGTTATCTAGTGCTGCTATAACAGAAATACCATAAGGGGATGGCGTTAACACACAGAAATTCATTCTCTCACAGTCTAGGAGGCTGGAAGTCCGAATTCAAGGCATCATCTCCCAGGGATGGCTTTCTGTCTCTGTTGTTTCAGGGGGAAGGTCCTTGTCATCAATCTTCCCCTGTCTAGGAACTTCTCAGCGCAGGGATCCCAGGCCCAAAGGATAAGCTCTGCTCCCGGTGCTTCTTTCTTGGTGGTATGAGGTCCCCTCTCTCTCTCTTTCTATTCTCTTTTTTATATCTCAGAAGAGATTGACTGAATATATAATCTTATCCTGTAGATTGAGTCCTGCCTCATTAACATAACTGCCTCTAATCCTGCCTCATTAACATCATAGAGGTTAGGATTTATAACACATAGGATAATCACATCAGATCACAAAAGGGTGGACAACCACACAATACTGGGAATCATGGCCTAGCCAAGTTGACACACAATTTTGGGGGACACGATTCAATCCATAACACAAAGTCTGGGCTTCTTGAGGCCCTGGAGCAGGGAATAGAGAAGCAGAGGGGAACCCAGACCGACTCTGCCTCTTTAACTCTGCACTTCTCTGCTCAGTCACTTAATTTTTCTCCCCCTGAAGTGCTTCTTTCTCTGCTCTTCCTTAAGCACTGCAGCTTGGGAGTAAGCTCACAGTACCTCAACTCTAGCCACAAGCAAAACTGACCGTCTTTCAACCACAAGCCCAAATTCCAGGAGAGAATCTGATTGAATGAACTTCATTAGGTATCTACCCTTGGTCCAATAAACTGTGACCAGAAGTATCTTAGTTATCTAGTGCTGCCATAACAGAAATACCACAAGTGGATGGCTTTAACAAACATGTTTATTCTCTTACAGTTTAGGAGGATAGAAATCTGAATTCAGGGTGCCAGCTCTAGGGGAAGGCTTTCTCTCTCTGTTGGCTCTAGGGGGAGGTCCTCGTCTCCTTTCAACATCTGTGGGCCCAGCGTTCCTTGGGGATCTCCATGTGTCTTGGCATCAATCTTCCTCTGGGTCTAGAAGGTTCTCAGCTCAGGGATCCCGGGTCCAAAGGATACACTCTGCTCCCGGCTCTTCTTTCTTGGTAGTAGTAAGATCCCTCCCCTTTCCACTCATTTTTCTCTTCTTTTATCTCTTGTAAGATAAAATGTATGACTTAAGCAAGGGTGTGACTTAAGTAAGGGTATGACTTGAGTCATACCCTTTTGTACTCAAAATATACTCCACACTCATCTGGCCTCAATTAACATA